AAATGACTAAAAATGTTCAATTGAGGATTAAAAAGATTAAAATTGAAAAATCTAGATTAGTGTTTTTGATTAAGGAATATAAGCTTGAAGGAATTGCAGAAAGATATGTAAACTTGATGAGTGATGAAACTATGATGAAGATTTTGTTCCATAAGTGTTATAAAGAACTTGACAGATGTCAAGTTAAGTGTGGTGAAGAAAATGAAGATGACATGTCTGCAAATCAATCAGGTTGTCAAGAAGCAAGTCAAACTTTTTCAGAAAACAATGAAATTTTCGCAACATTAAGAAATTATGAATCAGTAAATCATAAATTAATCTTTAGGGACTTATGTGACACATTTGCAAACATCATAGTTCCAAAAATTAAAAAAATGCTCTCATCAGTTAAAGCAGTTGAAAATTTAACCTGGAATAACTTAAACAACAGCTTACAGTCAACATTTTCAAAGTCATTCATTGATTTTCAAGGATTTTACATCCCACTTCAAGAATTAACGCAAATCAATTCAGAACAGCTTCAAAATCTTAGTCATCAACAAATTTTGGACATCATCCGAAACGGCTTCACAAAAGTCTCGAAAATTGAGCAACTTACAATTCCATTCTACATTAAAAGAACATTTATTTGGCAACACATGGAGTCGCATGTTCACCAAAATCCGTACATAGGAAGTTACACATATTATGCTGAGAGAAGTCAGAAGAGACAGTTCATCACATATCACACAAAAACTTATTACAATGTCAAAAAAGAATTGAAAAACTTCAAAATTTTAATCTTATCTGATGAACTTGGAAGTGGAAAGACAACAACTTTGAAGTATTTTGCAAGAAGATTGAAGGAAGATGACATTAAGTTGTGGATTGGCTACATTGACGCTAAGTTGTCATCAAACATATTTGAAAAAATTGCAGAAAACGAGGAGTGGAATGTTGATAGACTTGTGGAATTTATGGTCGACATTTTAAGGCTTTCTGGCTTCGATGCTACGATTTTCAAGCAAAAATTCAAGAACAATCAAGTCATCCTCCTTTGGGATCATATCGATGAGGAATTTCAACCAACATTGATAGATTTTGGTTATTATATCAAGCAACTGACAGAAAATCAGCAAGTTTTTGCCACTAGATTGAAAAACTCGGAGAAGCTAGCTCATAAATTTGACAGAACAGCATATAAATTCATTCCATACACGACAGAACAAATTGAAAAATTTCAATGCAGAACTGAAGAATTTATGAATTTTTATGTCGGTTATTATAAATTCTTTAAATTCTGCGATACTATTGGACTTGGAGACGGTCATTATGACTTTAATCGTGAAATTTTCATCAACAATAATTTGCTGATATTCAAATTATTTCTGCTAGCCCTTGTTGACCTAAAATATGATCTTGACTATAGAGTGGATCTTTCATTGGTATTTGATAAAGTTTATAAGAAGCAATTGGAAGCTAGTCCTCAAAAGTTGATAGAGGATAATGAAGTTGTCCTACAGAAATTCTTGCAAGCTCATGCACTTAAGGCAGTCTTCGGAGAAAAACTTACAAAGACATTGAAAACAGTTAAGAACTTTGCAAATGTTGAGCCTCCAATTTCATACCTTGAAGGCATTTTTATTATGAATTTTGATGACAATTCTGTCGATTTCCAGCATAAAATCATTCAAGAATATTTTATCATGAAATATATCATCGACAACATCATTTATGTCAATATAAAAGATGTTAAAGTCACTGAGGCTAAACAGCTAGTCACAATTTTCTCTAAGATTCTCTCTCAAGACACATACAAGTGCCTGCTAAAGCTTATCAAAGATGCATTTTATATAGAACACAAAAATTCCACAACAATAAAAGAATCACAAGACAACATCTTAAAAATTATTAAAAAGGCTCAATTTTGGCCAAAAGTCACAAAATCATACAGTCCAAAAAAGCTAAGTTATATTGTGCATGACAATAAGTTCAGAACGATATTCGAAGAAACTGAATTTTGGTCTAAATTGTTAACTGAGATTCAACTTGAGAAAGACAAATTTGAGGAAAAAGAGAAGATAAAGCTAGCTGTGCAGCATCAAGAAGCTACAGAATCCAAATACATAGAAAAAGAAATTAAAGACAAGCCAACAATTAAAGGAGTAACATCAAGGAAAAAACTTAATCAAAATGTAGAAATTTCCTATCAATTGAGTGAGTTTTTGGATGATTTGGTGACTGATAAGAGTGATTAGGCTTTTCAGGAGGAAGGATGTAGCTTATAATAAATTTTTAAGGGTCAGTGTTCTGTTGTTTCTGACTAGAAATAGCTAAAATATACTCTAGATTTACTCTTATCAATCTCAATGTTAAAGCTAGTGTCATCTTGAGCAACTAAACACAGATCACCATCAAATTCAAATCCTTTAATCTTTTTAAAAATTCTCAAATTTTAAAAAAAATCATAAATTAAATTAAAGCTAGTCATAGCTCTGAATGTGTAATAAATCAAGAATTACAACTTATCTATCCAGTCTCGCCCACAACTTTCAGAATCATCAAATAAAAACTCTTAAAAGTCATTAATTCAATTCTTATCTGAGTAAAATAAGTCATACTTTTAACAATAAAATGTGATAAATGACTGCGAAAATCCATGAAATGTAAATAGAATTTTTCAATACTTCCAATTTTTTTTTTGATTTCTTCTTTTCCATCTCAATAAAAAGACATAAATCAATTTGTAACAATTCATTGAATTTACATTTAAGACATTTTCAGTTTCTTTATTTTCGTTCATGTCTGAATCTAAGCATAAATGTGTGTATCTTCATGTCATCCACCAAGAAAGACAATGCGATTCATCAACTTGATTGATGGGATTGATTTTATTTTCATTTTCGTAGTGAAAGTCTTTTTTTGAATTTGATAAATATTCACAGACTTAGCATTTGATAATGTTTTGTTGTCTGGGCTTTTTTTATAGAGTTTCTAGAACTTTGTTTCAATCCTTGACTTGAACTTTCAAAGTCTTTCAAAATTTAAAAATAATTTTTGCAGAAAGTTCAAAACATCTTCCGGCAATCAACAAAATAACCCACTCAAATTTCAATTATTTACATTCATACTCTTCATCAAGCGAACAAAATTAGACTAATTGTCATTATTTTTCATCCTCAATGCTTTGGGATATTATTTGAAAATATTTTGTCATCCTCTGAGTAAATGTTTACGTAAGTAAAATTTTGGATCTATTTTTAAAAGGCATTGAAAGGAGATTTTTGACTTGATGCGCAATTGTTTTATCCAAATACATAGCTTTGAATTTTTAAGTAATTTTAAGACATCTTTGACGGATCATTCTCAGTGGAATTATGACAAGCTAATTAACAACCAGGATGTATGCTTTATGCAGAGGCTCTTAATATATTTGAATTTCAACATCAAAGTTAAATAAAGCTAGCTGCAATTCCACTATCTTATGTGTAGTCACTTTTTTCCCAAGGGGTCGGTCACATGACGTCCGAAATTAACGGTCAATTTTCAAAAAAGAACAATGTATTTTTAACAATTTTGTTCTTTTCTTGCTGTCCCCCCTCTCCCCTAGACGGTAAAAAAAATCAAATCACATAAAAACTTTAAAGCCAATCACAACAAGTTGTCACGTTTCAATACGAAAATGTCATAAACTTATGAAAAATCACTTACAAGTCATTATGTTTTGATACTCTCTATTGCTGTGTGTCATCTCTATTAAATATTTTTTGACACTGATGAAAATTATGAATGAAATTAGGGGTTTGTTCATAAATGATGTCGTGTATTAAGGATTAGATGGAGGCAGCAGGTCTGATTCTTTTTAAAACTTCAAAAAAAATTTTCCTTTGTTGAAAGTTGGTCTGCTTAAAAAACAGGGAAGGTAAGAGTCTTTCATGAAGTTCTGACTAAAAACATGTTCCTTGGAGTGACGTATGGTTAAGGTGACCATTTTGAAAAAAATATAGGACCTGAAAGTAAAATAGAAGCATCCCATAAATGTGTCTACCAATTTTATTCGTTTTGTGGACAATTCAAAACTATTTTATTTTTGAAAAATGAAAAAAATAGAGGTTTATCCTCAGTAAAACCAAGCAGATGGTCAGCCTACGTATGGTAAACATCAAAGCTTAACAACCCCCAAAAGCATATTGATTTGGGTAAAAATTGAACACCTGATGCAAAATTCAATAAATTATGGCATTTATGATAAGTTTCTATTAGAGTTGTTCATGCGAAATCAGCAGATGCTATTGTACCATGCTGACTAGTATTGGTTTTAGAGTGTAGAAAGAGTAAATTCAATAATTTTACAATTCAGGGTGTGCTGTGGGTTTTATTTTATGACAAATTGAGTGCATTACAATAGGAAAAACCAAAGAATTTTAAATTATTGATTGTTGGATTGTTGAAGGAATTATTTGGATGGATTTTGTGGATTCTTGAGAATTTTGTTTAAAGAAAGTGTGGTTTTTGAAGGCTTTGAAAGTTTTTTACGGGGGTCCTCCATAATAATCATTAGCAGAACATAGAAAAAAGTACGAAAATCAAAAAATTTTAACTTTTCCCAAAATCCAGACTTGCTTCAGCCAATCTCTTTCATCATACCCAACAAAAACTTATTTTAAAGAGCTTTTTCAAATGCAAATCCAGCTCAATCCCCTCATCAAATTCATTTCAACTAAGACCTAATGACTATAAAACAAACTTTTTTTTTTTCATCATAAATTAATGGCAATTTTTCATTCCTAAAATATTATCACAAGCTTGAAAAAAAAAGTTTTGTCATAAAAAAGAGAAAGAAGAGAGAGCAAGCTCAATTACATGAGAACAACAGACAATTTCCATTATCTCATCGCATTCAAGTCTCATTATTGATGATGTAAATTAATTTTAATCTAGCATTTTCGCGAGCACAAAAAGAATGTTTCTTGTCATTATTATTCATTTTGCATTATTTTCTTCTTTTTTTTAATAAACAGCACGATCCAGATCAATGTACACCTGGCGGTGAAGATGGTAATTTCATAATGTTTGCGAGGGCGACATCGGGAGATAAAAGGAATAATAATAAATTTTCACCGTGTTCACTGAAGGCTATTGAGCCGGTTTTGAATGCGAAGGCACGTAGCAGCAAAGGATGTTTCACAGGTAACCCTTTTTATGTCCTTACTTACTTACTAATATGCTTGAAAATACTAACAATATCAACATCAAATGGAAAATGCTAAGCTTTTCTTCGTCTTTCAAAGCACGCGTTTGTGCTTCCCTTTTTTTACATCGTCATCGACACTAAATGCGCTTAAGTGACTTTAAATTGAATCAAATTTAGATAGGAAAAAAGGGGAAGAGATCCTGGAGAAAACGATTATGTCGTCAACATGCATGCACATTACCATTAAAATAACATTTTCATATATGTGATATCCATTTTCATTAAAAACTGAAAGGTTTTTAGCACAGTTAGGAAATTTTATATTCACGTTGTTGATTTTATGGATTTAAAAAATAAATTTAGCAAGTAAGGAATTTTTTGTGATAAGAGCGCATTTTTTGAAAATTGAAATAATAGATTGTTATTAAAAACAGGGTTGCGCTACAGGCACCTATGCACAGACGAAAGTCGTACAATTTCTTCCCAAAACCATACAAATTCTAATAGAACCTTTCAAATTATCAAGGAATTGTACGGTTCTCACCTGTGCACAGGTGCCTGTATCGCCACTCTGATTAAAAAGGCTATAACCAAATTCTTGGAGTTGTTACTAATGCTACTAAATCTACTTTAGTCACAATCAATCTTTTTTTATACCTTAGGGGTATATTATATCCTGGATAGCTCTAAAAACCTCCCACTTGTTACCAAAATCCAAAATTTATTTCAAATCACTTAATGAAGCACTGTCACTTTGATAAAATTTCTAAAAGGACATGACACAATATCATTGATGGCAAATCAACCCCATTAAATCACACAAGAATCCAACTCCTCAGTAGCAATTACAGACCGTCAGTCAAAACTCCGAAACCCCTTCAAGAACTCTTCGCGAATCTTTCAACAAACTTATAAAATTATTCAATGTGCATGCAAACTTATAAGACTTTATTAAATGAAACGAACGTGATGATAATTGAATTACCTTTTAGAATTGTACTAGAAAAAGTAACTTGAAAGAATAGAATCTCAATCTACCGCATCATAAGAACTGCTATTCGGAACGATTCCGTGCCGTGTCATGTTTCGTACTTGTAATTACTACTTTGTAAGTTTTTGAGATGTTGAGATTGCTGTCATTTGCTATTTTATGTGCTTACATGCGTAAATATTCGAACATGAAGTATTTTTTTCGTTACTAAACATTCAAGGTCAGGCACGTGACACGCCAATTGCTTATATTCCTTTAATTTATTAACTTATGCTTCATTTCAATCGATGATTTTTATCTCATTGTCTTATACGACGCTAGTTTTTTGTTGTCAGAGATATACAGTCATTAAGTTAATGTATGATGAGAAAACCGATGAGAACAATGAAGTGATTTAATGCAAATGGAATTTTAATTTAATAATTTTGTATTACAAAAGATAAATTAAAGTAATGATTCCTGAATGTTGCGGTTGTCATATTGATAATTAATTAATTAATGCTCAACGGTTGAGTGATGTTCTTGAAAAATTATTTAATTATTTAATAGATGATGAGAATCTGTAGAAATAATGATGAGAAACCTTCGATTTGAGAGGTTTATGTGATTTAATCTGAGAATTAGTGTCGATTACTCCTTGAAACTTAAAACTACATATCCTCCAAAATGAACAAACTTGACAAAAGCTTAATCAATTTCCATTTGCAAAAATTCCAATTCTAATCATTCTTTATCAATTCCATTTGCAGAGCCGACACAATCCATATGTGGTAATGGAGTTGTTGAGCCAGGTGAACAATGCGACTGCGGTTGGGAAGAGGATTGTAAAGATGACTGTTGTTATCCGATGAATCGTCATCCAGCCTACAATGAACGTCCATGTACATTGCGACCAGAGTAAGTTGAAAAATAATTAAAAACAATTTTGCAAGTGCAGAGAATTTCCAATTAAAAATTTTGAAGAGCAGGAAGAGATTTTCAAGAGTACTTGTCGTCATATTGTGTATACCTTGAAATGAACGAGTTTCATTTCCATTCAGTCTGAACCTTTTCATCAATTTTTCTCTCTTCTTTTGTTATTCAATAACAACAGCAAAGTATGCAGTCCATCGCAAGGACCATGTTGTACTTCTAAGTGCTCACTGAAGTATGGCGATAAGTGCAGAGACGATAATGGATGCCGTGAGCCAAGTTATTGTGATGGAAGATCTGCAATCTGTCCACCATCGGTCAATAAACCGAATAAGACCATTTGTAACAAGGAATTTGTATGCTATATGGGAGTAAGTAGAAAATTATTTTCGTTCATCAATCATTGGAATGGGATTATTGGGAATAAGAATTTTTTGAAGCATAGATTGTTGAACTTGAGAGTTTATGCGATGTGTGGTCATTTTGAGGCTGAAGTTTTGAGGGTTTATCTGAGTGAGTGTCAGCTTAGTTAATATATTTGCAACCTCACATTCCTCATGACACATCCGAGTCCGAACAAACTATAATCTACCTCAAAATGACCTGATCTGAACTCAAAAATGCCACAAGCTCTTCAAAAACTAATTTCATATCCACTCCAAACTCAACAACACTCTAAATATGCATTCATTGAATTCATGTTCATTTCTGTTTTCATCATGACAATCTTTTAGGAATGCACGGGTTCAATTTGTCTCGCATATGGATTAGAATCATGTCAGTGTATACCCGGTGAGAATGATCCAAAAACAAAATCATGTGAGCTGTGCTGCAAGAAGCCTGGCGAGAATCAGGAATGTAAAAGTTCATTTGAATGGAATAAAGTACCATATGATGTTCCAGACATGTATTCAAAACCGGGAACACCATGCAACGAGTACAATGGATATTGCGATGTATTCCAACGATGTAGGGAGGTCGATCCCTCAGGACCGTTAGCGACATTGCGGAAATTACTATTGTCGGAGGAAAGCATAGCGTCGTTTAAAAAATGGGTCATCAGCAATTGGTATGCTGTTAGCTTAATCATTGTTGCCGTATTTGCACTGCTGGTAAGTTAATTTAAATTTTTTTCTCATTTCTATTTCTTGTCTACGTCCTCTACATTAACATTTAACTGTCGTCTTCTTTGGAACACTCTATCTGTGGCTCTTTTAATTTACATACAGAAAAACTTTTTATTATTTTTTCATGGTACAAAAAAAAACTTTTTTTATTCATTGAAATATTAACAAAAAAAAGTTATGTCGCTTCCTGAAAAAATGGGACAGTGGCAACGACAGCAATGACAATGTATCACAACATGGTGATGATAATAATGATAATAATGAAGATGAGGAAAAGTGTGAGTCTAGTTTGCGATTTGTGATTGATGTAGATGCTATTGCTGCTCCTGTTTATGCTGTCATTGTCAACATTTCGAGTTTTAATTCATTATTGTTGTTATCCTGAATGAATAATTTGTTGGATATTGTGTTTGGGGCTCTGTCGAAATGGCTAGATAGGAATAAATTTTGTTGAGATTAAAATGTTGTTGTTGGATTGGATTTTATAAGCTATTCGTTATTTAAGGGGATGAAGCTCATATCATTTTGCATCTTCTAATAGTCACTGTCATTAAGCTAATTCAATTCAGAACCTCGTTTCTATTGAAATTTTAAACAAATATTGATTTTTCCCATCTCATCAATTAAAGTTGTTGTCATTAAATTCAAGGTTTCAAAGTTCAATGCTTCATAAAGTCCACAACTTCAATAAATTTCAATTATTTTAATCGATTTTATGCTTCCATCAGAAGTGCCATTAATCATTCTCTGATGGATAGATCAAATTAAGCATTTTCAATAAATTATGAAAGTTACATTGTATTGATGAGTCTATAAAGTGTCTCCCATCCCCTATAAATGAGAATTTGATTCTTTTGACAATATACCTACTTACTTCCTTGGCTGGGGCGCACATGGGCTCTTTGCCTCGTTTAGAGACTCTAGATCTCTTGCCATCAATAAAGTCTGCAACAGTCACTCTAAGTACTGGGGCATCTTGTGGACGTCTAAACACTTGCCCAGCCCATCTCAAGCGATTTGTAATAATTTGGCAATATAGCTTCAAAACTTAAAGCTCAACTCTTCAATTACTTCCAAAGTAGCACAAAAATAAATTTCCCAAGAATTCAACCATCAATCTCCAAATCTACCAAACCTCCCCGCCCATCAACAAACTGTGACTGATACAAAGTACTCTAATTCATAACTCATCATTACCCTCATTTATTTCCTAACCCCCTAATTCTGATATCTTAAGTACTCAGCCCATAGAAAACATAAATATAAAGTATATGCTGGAATTTCATTCATATCAATAAGTATGTAACAATTTTGTCCATCTTTCAATTGAAGGATTATGAATTGAGTGGTATTAACGTCATACTGATACTCTAATCTGTTATAAAAGGAAACAGAAGAGTCAAAAAGAAGACATTTGATGGTAGATTTGAGCACATGTCGATGTCAAGAGAACTTTTTCTTTTCTTGGAATATTCGTGAGGGATTTCGAAATTTGCTGGCTTGAGTTGATTTAAGGATATGTGAGAGTGGGGTTGTCTAGTTATGATGTCTATAATTTATGAGGATAAGGGGCGTAGCCAGGAATTTGAAGAAGGGGGGGGGGCAGATTATTTTTAAGACGAAGGGGGATTTGTCCCCCATTTACTCCAATGTCTTTAGTTTTAAGAGACTTCATTAAATATTTTTGGTCATGACATTAAGAATGGGGGGTCTTAAGATTATATTTTTCATGTGACATCATTTTTAAACGTACCCCAAAACTCAAATTCATCTTTAAAATTCTAAAATCACCTAGCAAAATACTCAGATTTATTCAGAATAAAAAAAATATTCCAAGTCATGCACACTTGTTAAAAATTCTTCATGAAAGTTAACCATATGGTTGAAATAAATAAACATTTTCTATATTTTCACCCTATAAACTTTAGTTTTCTGTTCAAAAACAAAAATTAATCCATTGTGGCCAACAACTTTTTGTTCTCAGAAACAAAAGAAATCGAGAGAAAAAAAATTCTATCTCGATTTTCACACATTTCATATTTTTAATTGATACTGAGAAGCAGATTCATCCATAGAATTGTGATGAGGATAGAATGAAAGAATGGCGATATTGTTTCGTAAAACTTTTAATTAATTTTTTTCATCCTTAAGCTACATAATAATATAATTCTTTAAGTTACTAACAATTGTTTTTAATTTTAATTTCAATATAGATACTCAGCACACGCTTCCTGGGCAAGAAATCAAACTTAAAATTAAAGACTGTAACAATAATTCATAGTGCAACCACGGAGACAGTGCGATTACCTGACGACAACAATGGGGTAAGTTATGATTAAAAATGTTTTGATTGTGGACATGTCTTTGGTGATGCACCGAGTTGGAAATGGCAACAGTTTGACTTTGTAGATGTTCCTAGTGAATTTTTGGTACCCCACCTAAAAAACATCGTAGATGTTTCCCAATTTAAAACAATGTTGCACATCTAGTAGCTAAAGATGGCACGATTCTGAACAATAACACTTGTTAAGCTATAAAAACCCAAAATGCGCCTTATCCAAAAATCACTTCAAACTTGTTTCCTTCAACAACAATAAAAAAAACTAAATGAAAAATTAATTAATGACTTTTTTCCTCTCTTTTCTCTTCCTTTTCCTTTTAACTTACAATAAAACAATTCAGGTCATCGTTCATACAGCGGTGAGAACAAAAGTTCCACTCAAGAAGAAAGTTCGTGGCGAGCAAAGGAAAAAGAAGTCCCAACAAAAAGTTATCATTCCACCAATTCTGCCCCAAAAGGATGTAATTCAATCCAATGTCACATCGAATACCGTAAATCCAACATTGCCCGTGTCAGCGACATCCATTAAGCCATTAAGTCGCAGTCAAAAGAAATCTCTTGAAAGTCCCAAGAAACTTTTACGAAGGAAGAAGAAGCAGCATCGACAAGTGAACGGTCCTGATGATAATTCTGGTCAAATGAAAGTCAAAGATGATCAGCAGCAGCAGCAGCAACAACAACAACAACAATTGCCAATTAAGCCTCAGAGAAAACCAAAAAAGAAGCCATCGTCCTCATCGTCTAAGCATAAAGAAATTATCGATTATTCAAATCCCGAATCACATACAAATACATTCGGTAAAGTACAGAAATGGCTTCTCGAATCACCAATTGTATTATCGGCAGCATCACAAATTGAGCATGCATCGAAAATATCAAATATGATGAATAAATCACATTCAACACCTGAGCATTTGGCAAGTGTCCAACAGCCACAGCAGCAACAACAACAACGTTCACCAATAAATACCGCAAAACCGAAAGGAACAACAACAGCAGCAAAATCGACAAATAATCTAAATGATAAAGTACGACTGCAGGTTGTCTATAAGCCACCATTTAAATTCTCATTGAAATTCTCGAAAAATAAGAATAACATCAAGACAAACGTTGTTAGTGCTGATAAAAATAAAATGTTGTGGCGTCAGCAACAACAACAGCAACAAAGAAATTCCCTCGAGGATCCATCTCGTTCACGTCGTGCTGCACTCCTAATTCGATCAGCAACCGAGGATATAAGCAATCAACTGGTTCAGTCAAATGATGAGCCATTGTATGAGACACTCAGTCATCCACCGAAAGTCAAGCATCCGCCACAGCCAAATTATGAAAATTTACCGACAACATCATCAACAGCAAATTTAATTGATGCATCAATGAACAATTCGATATCATCGCCAATCAATACAGCAACATTTCGTGTTAATAAGAGTGCCAGTGGCAGTAATATAAATAATCATCGTAATTTGCCTGTGATATCAACGCCCATATTGAATAGTAAGAGTCGAAGTCATCAGCGTGTTAGTCAAAATAATTTAAGACGATCGAGTATTGGTAATAGTGGAAGTAGTGGTAATTTAATGAAATTTGGTGGTAGCTCACAAAATTTAACGAGATCGAGTACAACAAATCTCACAAAACATACTCAACGTGATGGCATTAAACGTCGTGCAAGCGACATGAATCGTAGCAGTACGACAAACCTTAATAAATACAATCGACATAATAGTAGTAATTCCAATTTGCGGCGCGATGGTTCTAACATGGACGTCAATTCGAGTCCATCAAGTGAAGAGTATAATCCAGTAAGTAGCAATGAGAGGAAGTCTCATAGCAGGAAGAGCAGCATGAATGTTAGCAACAGTAAATTAAATCAGTTGTCTAAAACATACAGCAACTCAAATTTAGTCAATAACATAAACAATAATACATGCAGCAGTAATGGATCGACTGCCATCTGTCCCGTGCAGGGATCATCGCGCCGCGAAAGTTTCAATAATAATATACCACGTGCTAGTCTAATAAATTCAATTACCAATATAAGTAATCCATTCCAACGTCAAACATCATTAAAGCCAACACAACCGTTATCACATTCGAGTCGTATGATGATTGATGAACTTAATAAGAACCGTCCACAGACATCATCATGTGATAGCTCAATGTTTAAGAATTTTGAATGGCCCAAAGTATTAACGACACAACGTTCATTGCCAGCCGAAAATGCTGGGCCTCAATCTGATCTTGAAGTTATGGTTTCTGATGTAGAAAATCTTATGAACGATAGCTAGGAGCTACTAATATCCCGCTTTTTTAATTTCCTTTCGTCATCCGCATCGTCAATATTTCAGTTTTATTAAATTCTCGTCCCTTTTAACTGCCAATTTATATCGGACACTGTCAGTTCTTCACTCAACAATTTTTTTATTTTTATTATTTTAAGCTCATATTGTGTAACTTAATTTAATTTATTTCTTCATGGCTTCTTCACATTTGTGGCTCGTGTGCGGATGGTTTTGGGATATTGATTTGAGTTTAATGATCGGAATTGAATGTGATTTGATGAGAAAGTTTGGGACTGAATTTAAATTTCAATAAGGATTATTAGAAGTTACTATAATGAGGAATGTTGTGCTCGGTGGTCTTTTGGTAGCCACCATCTTGATAATCCAGTTGGATACTACCCAGAATTTTCTACGAATTTAAATCAAGCCTTTAAATTTAATAAGCACAAGCTTAAAATAACATCAAATCTAATTTTCAATCATCTATTTCACAAGCAAGCATTAAAATAAAATTAGATTCTGCCTATAAAGCCTTAAGGCTGATATAATCTTAATAAACATTCTCGTTTTCCATGAAATCTATTTAAAATGATTCAGGGGTGTAGCTAGGAATTAAATTTGGAAGATGCGGGTCTCAAAAAATTTCTAACAATTCAAAGCAAAGTCTTGACTCGAAATCGCTCTTCTAGCTGCGTCCTGGCAACGATCCATTTTCATCAATACCAACCTTGATTTTTGGATTTAAAAAAATATTCAAATCGCAATTCTGTACTTACAATTGCCAAAATAGAATGAAAATCCCAAAATCAATCGCACCAAGTGAAGAGGCCTTGAACCAACCTTAAGCGGGAAAAAAATCCATTTTTATGACTTTTTTGCGCGTATTGTCATAAAAAATATACATTTTTTATGTGCCAATAACATTTTTATTTTATTTTCATCTCTCATGTCCTTCTGTGTACGGAATACAATAATAATAATAATAATAGTAATAGTATTAATCTTAATTTTTCATTTATTTATACATAGCATGTACATAAATATTAGATAAATTATTAAATTGATTAGATTTAATTATCGCATCAAAAACATTCACACATAAAATGGATGAAAGGAGAACAAAAGCTGTAAATTAATTTTGAGTGTTGAGCAGTGCTGTTCATGAAGACAATTGAAATTGCATAATTGGAAGCTAGTATGTAAAAATTTGAAAATTAATAAATTTTTTTTAAATCATTAAAGCTGCATTTACTGCCAAAAAAGTAAAAATCCAACATAATTTGAGCATCACTGATTAAACTCAACGTCGCATCATAGCAAGAAAATACTAAATATGACATAAACATGCAAAAGTTGAAGACTCAATGAGCATAATAAGTACAAGTGTGATCAAAGGATATAGAAAGAAGATAACGATGACAAAAAATATCAAATGAATATGAATGTTCATATTTATAAATAGCAAATTGACATTTCCAGTCATTACATTCCTCTCAAAAGCTCATCTTTCTCGTTCTCGTATTGAATTTCTACATTTGAATATGAATCAAGTTTAAGAATGTATCGAGTTGATATTCTTGGTAATGTGAGGAGTGGATATGATGACGTAGATTCAGATGGGAAATGTTTTGAATTTCTTTGTAAGATTTTGATTCATTTGACAAGTTCTACATGAGCTTAAACCCTCCGGTTCAGCCCTACAGTAAGCTATACATGTGTAGCTAACCCCCAACTATATCCAAAACTTCCAAAAACTTCGCCTTCTTATCAAAACCATCCCAAAACTTACATGACGAAGAACTTAACACCAGAAAATACTTACAAATCCCACAACATGTTCAGTTGTGCTGAGATTCTCAACACATTCAACTAGAAAATTTTTTAATTGAGTTAATTGAGTTGAATGAAGAAGATTTTCTGTAAATTGTAAATAAAGTGTTCTTAAAAAACGTACTTGAAAGCTTTTCCAACTGCAATTATGTCAGTAAGTGGATGTGTTTAATTATAGAAATTTTCAGAAAAATTTTGTTATTTCTGATAGAAACGTTTTTGAGGAAGTTTGAAGAAGATTTGAGTGCTTCGGGGTGGTTAATTAAATGGAGATTAAAGGAAGAGTTTTTAATTTTGTTTAAATTTATTTTAAAATTATCGAAAATTCTTGGAAAAAAAATTAATCAAAATTTTTCAAAACTTCCTCATTTCAATTTCAAAGCACATGGAAGAAATATTCAAAAATCAAATAACAACTTCAACATCACATGCTTTCTAAGAACATCAAAAAAAAATATTTTTCACAAATTTCCCCATAATTTCCTCCATCAAGAAATTTTCACATCATCTAAAAGCACATACACACATGTGAGAATTGCCTGATAAAGTAAAATCAATTGTACAGCACACGTGTGCTTAACTGACAAGCAATTTGACGTGTAAATTTATCAAAAATTTAGTCAATCATCTTTCGCATCACTTTATTTGCTATTTGTGGAACGAAAAATGCGAAAATAAATTTACTTTACGTGGTAAAATCAATGAATGTGTATGGGGGGATGTTGTTTACTGATCGAACCTCTTTTTGGATTTTCTGAGAAATATTTTGCAGGAAAAATTCTTTAAAAGCTTCAATTTTCAAGATTTACTTAAAAAAAACCAAATTCTCGTCTTTTCGGATGAAAAATTCCAATGAAATCAAATTTAAAAAGATTCTTTGTCTCAACAAATTAATCAAAAAATTCCCCAACATTAATGAAACTCCCAAACATACTCAAAACTTCCAAGAACATTTCAAAAAATTTTTTCCCAATTTTTGTGCAACATCATGTTACATAAAGACCGAACATGAACAACAACAATTTTTTAATGAAACAAGACAAAATTAAGCTTAATAAAGCGTAAAAGAACAAAAGAATGACGAAGAGATGAGAATGAGAGCTAAAAGCCCATATCACATGTAACTGTACACGAAGAATAAAAGAAAGTAAAAAGAAAAGAACGGAGAAACACCTTATTTTGACATAAGAATGACGACGATGTGTATTTAAGGCATGTACATGGGAAACAATCATAAAACGATTTCTTGAAGCTGGCAGAAGAACTGGTTTTTTGGTGTACTGATGGGGATTTTTTGAGTCATTTTGGGAGGATGGAATTTTTATTTTGAGGGAAATTTAGTCACTTGAACAATCGGTAAGAAGTCTTAGTCATGCAATGATACCTCTTGGATCTTGATCTATACCCTGTCTGCAAGATTCACTTCAATACGGCTCAATTAAGCAGACTGCTGCAACACAAGTCATCTCCAATCCTTCAATACTTTAACCTTAGCAACATAAAAAGCGCCACATCCACTCCAAAACACCCAAAGTCATCCAATACTTGATTTATGTTCAACTTAAGAATTTTTTTCCATCAATTATTTTAATGGAAAAGAATTTATTTTTTTTTTCGTCGTCATCTTCATTTCATTACCAGAAAGAAGAAATAAAAATAACGCGGGAAAGATGAGTCGTGCCAAGAACATAAAACAAAATTATGGAGTTTATGAGAGAATGAATAAAGACAAGAAAATGACAAAAGTAAAACATACACACAATTAATTGAATATTGCACGCAATTTAAGAAAGAAAACAGATAATTATCATTAAAATGAAAATTGCTTGAAATTTGTGATAAATGTACCTAAAAAAAAGTTCACAGACACACACACACGTACATATGTAGATAATGAATGAATGATAATTGACTTAAAATTGTTCTCATTTTGTAGAATTTTAAAAGACGATTAGGAAGTGATGTATGAAATAAAATAGGAGCTTCTATCACTGCTGAAACTGCTATTTCACATCCTGATAAGCATTAACTGTTTTGCTACTCATATCCGATGATGTGTGCAATTTTATAACTATAGAAATATCCTCGTGTATGCTAAGTGACTTAGTTAAAATTTAAAAGTATGGAAATTAAATTGAAAAATAATTGAATAATTTTCCAGCAAGGAAAGTTTTTGAAACAAGACTTAAAAGCTGTCGGGATGGATGCTGAGGTGAAATTTGAGGACTTCATAATTCAAAACTTAAAAATTCGTTAAAATTCAAATTTATTTTGACGGTTTCCTCAATCGACAAACAAACTCTTGTTCGATTAATCATACAATACTTACTTCTTAAATTCAATTTAATTGCAATCATGATATTTCAACTATTCTACTTAAACATCAACTGCTTAGCAGTGCCTTCTTTATAAACTTATTTTTATTGTAGTTCACTTTATATGTAAAACTTAGAATGGCTTTAATAAATCAATCAAAGAGGAAGAAAACTAGTCTAATGAATTTAAAAAATTTATTTAACCTCAAAACATTTTTTCTGAAAAGTTTGAGATTTTTAAATAAATCTGACTCAACTTTTTGCTTGAATCTTGTTGAAATTATATTTAATCAAGTTAAGGAACCTACTCAATGGGTACTTTAGACACCTCCCCATCAGTAATACTTTAAAAATCAAAAAATCTACAGTTTCTTCATTCAATCTTCAAACCATTCATCACTAATCCACTCGACAGTGTCCTTCAATACTATAAAAAATATCAAAAAAAAAAAATCCAATTATATCGTAAGTCATTTGATACAAAAAAGCGAATATAGGAAGATATCAGATACATAAACAATATATGATGACGATAACTGTCATTGTTATACTCACATCCATTTATAAGAGAGAACTATTGATAAATAATATCATATATATCACATACTGCTGTCCAACAATCAATGAACGACAAATACGAAAATTGAGTGTATTTTGAGATAAAAATATATGAAATTAAATTTTGTTTAAGTTTGTGATTTTATGGGAGGGGTGCTATTGGATGTGGGAGTGGATTTTTAGATGAATTTAATTCCAGGATTCAAATCTAATTTTAAAATCATTTAAACTCAGTCTAAGCTGAGGGAAGATAATGAATTTTATTTTTTAAAATTTTAATCCCCATCTCAAATGGATCAATTTAGAATCTCAAGACTATAATTTCATCCTTTTCTTGAGCAAATTAATTTTAAATCTAGTAAAACTTCCATTTCACTTCCACAATCAATTTAAAACATTTTCTCTTTATAAAATTCATAATCTCTCCATCCAATGAACTAAATCTCAAAAACTCTCGACACAATAACAATAAAGTAAGTCTTAAACTCATCGACAAATGCTTCGACAAGAGCTGTAAGCAAAAAAATAATACGAGAAAAAGAGGAATTTTTTTTGCATATCAAAAAAGATAGAAATGAAATTTTATTTTGTAAATGACAGGTATTTTCAGCAAAAAGAACTATAAGCACTACCAGATTAAAATCCATAAGCTCCAGGCTGAAGATTTTGAATAAAATTTTATAGATCTAAAAAGAAAATGAATTGAAATGCAAATTTTTAAATGAGTTGAGGAAGATATTGAGATTTTCATCAACTTAACCAGTCTCAACATCTTACTCTCAACATTTACATTTCCAAAATGAAAATTCTGAATGAGAAACGAAACAAAGAAAAACATTCATGCTTAGATGAATATTAAAGTCTAATTTTATGTGTGAAAATGAATTAATTTCTTCCAAAATTTGTAAGCGTGAACGAACACGAAAAAGAAATATTTTTAAAAAGAAAAACGAAATCAACAATAATTAAAAAGTAACTAAAAAAGTGCTATCCTGCAAAAACTAATGCAAAGAAAAATCTAAAAAAATTATTTTTAAAAAAGAGTGTCTATAAAAACTTTCTACTTAGTCAAATTAATTTTTTGGTTTTATTTTTTTTGGAAATTTGGAGTGAAAAAATTGAGGTGAAATTCAACAAAAAGTGGAAGTTGGGTCCTTTTGGCAAGATTAAAAATCTTGCAAATTAAAAACTTTATTCAAAAATTTAAAGACCCAAAACTACATAAAATAGGTCTTGAATTCACGAGAAAATCTTTAAATATAGAATTTAATTAAATTCTGCATATGATCCTATTCAGACAATGAAATATCAACCACAGAAATCATCAAATATTCCTAATCCACTTTAGTTCATATTCAAACCTCTCAACTCCACAAAAAGAGTGAATAACAATAAAAAAGCTTCCATCTCACTTATTTCATGAAAAAAGCTAAAATTACCTATCAAAAAAAATCTATTTTTCATTCCAATAATTTTACTAGCATAGAAAGAATTTTAATTATCTGTGTTATTAATGGCATAAAAAAGTTCATTTATTTGAAGTCGTAAATTATTTTTCTAAAAAGTAAGAAATCTTTTTTTGTGAGCGAAGTCGTGCATAAGACGCATTTTAGGCGTGGCTCTGGTCACCAAAAAATATTGTGAACCAGAATGTGAAAAACGAGGTGATTTTAATTTTAATTTAAAATAAAAATGAAAAAAAAAACTCATGGAATTTGGGATGTTTTTGGGTGAATTTTTAAAGCAATTTTGCATGAAAATTCACTCAAAAAAAAATCCCGAAAAAAAAATTCAATTACGCGCTGAGTAATAAAAAAAAATCTTAACAACAAAAACAACTTAAAAAAGTTTAATTTTGAACTAACGTATTTTGTAAATTAAAGTCTCGTATTTTATAAGAAAAACGAAAGTAAAAAAATGTGAAAAAAAATATTCAAATTAATATGAATAAAATGCGAATGAATGTAAATGTAGCAATTTTAAATTAAAAAATAATACAAATGCGATATGAAATTGTAATTGAAAATAAATTAAATATGAAAAAAATTTCATATGTTTTTTGTATAAGAATGATGAAAATTGAAGCAACATAAAATTGAGAGAAATTTGTCGTCTAAAATAAAAAGAATGAAAAAATGAATATAAAAAGTAAAAATAAAATGAAAATTGTTTTTATAATTAATTTTGCATTGACATTAGCAACGCGCAATTTATCCTTTTTTCAGACAAATATTGAGATCAAATTGTTTTCCAGGAGCAACTTATGAAACCTAAACTTAAGTCTTGTCGGAACTTTAGTATGAACCCTAGACTTAGAAGCCCAGTCTGAACTCTAGTCAGAACCTTAGTCTGAATTCTAGCCGAAATCCTTGAATTGAAACCCTAGTCTGAACCTTAGAATCTGAACTTTAATCTAAACCTTTGTCTGGGTTCTAGCCTGAACCCTAGTCAGAACCATTGTCTGAACCTTAATCTGAGCCTTCGTCAGAGCAGTTATTTACATATGCTGCCCATAAAAATTAAGAATTTATGTACTCTTACCCTGTGTTCTAATTTGAATCACAGTGCGTGCAGCTCATGATTTACCCTTTATCCTGTTCCTAAATTATCATTATCAAAAAATCGGAAACTTTCCAAAACTTTATTAAATCTTTAAAAATGCGCTCCATACCCCCAACCTTACTGATCCACACCAAAATCACTATCCCTTAATTTTTCAGCTAAAATGAATGTCATTATCGTAATTTATTCCAGGTTGCATTTCATATGCTCGGTAAATGAACGCATATTAATGAGTCGATCTAGGATCGATAAATTTAATGGCTTCAAATGTCTTTGTTTTTGTTTTGTATCGTACGCTTAAAACTGCTCGTAGCTGAAAACTTACAGTCATCATTAAAAATTTAAATGACACAATTTACTCGATTATTGAGGTGAAAAAAGGGATGAAAAATTTATGAGAGAATTTTTTTTGACCTGGATTTTTAATTATTGAGAATATTCTCATGTGAGTCACGTGATGCAAAGAGCTTTGATAAGTTTGTGTTGTTTTAAAGATTTACTTGCATGGATTCTGGATCACAAAGTTCTTAAATACATCACATCAAATTTTTCTAAGTATCAATTTCATTCAGTTTCTACGGGAATATAACTTACAATGATGGAAGCATCTCATCAAATCTTTTTAAATTGTCAAGCTACTTCCTTTAACAATGAACTCAATATTGAATAGCAGACTGCATCTCAAGAGCTTCTCCTTTAACTTCTCGTAGCTATTAAGTTTACTATGAAATCCTTCAAGCAACAACCTTTTTAACTTCCTTATTAAAACTGCACTCCTTTGAAAAATAAAGCATACAATGTATAGCAGGAGAAAAGCTTCAAAACTCATCTCAACCCTTTTGTTCAAGACATATTGATTTTTTTTTGTTAAGTTTGATGTACCTTGCATGCATGTATTATACAATCTAAACCTTCAGCTTCTTCTTTACATTCACAAAAAATGATCGATTTTTTTTTCTTGTTAAAAGAAATCGAGAGGATGAATAATGTGAAAATTGGTTTATGTAAATCTTAACTGAAAAGAATCCTGTTTGGAGATTTTGCTGTTCATGAGAGAATTTATTGATTTCAGTCAGAAATTTGGAGAATTGTGTTTTGTTTTATTGAATTTTTTTAGGTTTTCTTATGACTTTATCCACTATTTTCCACCTTAAAGTCGCTTTAAGCATATTTCTCTTAATAATTCATCCAATTTATAGTCCTCTTCTTCCTAATCCACCAAACTAATGCAATCCCATCAAAAATGAAACAAAAAAGCAAGAAAGCATAAAATAAAGCTTTATATGTCATGATGAAAAGCTTACAATGTAACCTTCAGGTTTACTCTATCAATATATCAAGCATAAAATATTCAAGTGTCAAGCATAAATCAAGTACAATGTGGAAATAGAGAATAAATAAAAAGATGACGAAGAAAAGTGCTTGAAGTTTAGCATTGCTTGGTGCTTAACTTTTGTAAAGACAGAAATGCCAAGTGAGCATTCTTAAGATTTGAAACAGTGTTGTCCAAACTGAGTGCCGTGGCACATTGATGTGCCGGAGGACCTCCAAAGTGTGTCGTGGCTGAAAAAAGTTTGGACAACACTTCTTTAAAAGAGACCTTAATCTTTGCTGTACAGTCACTTCTTTTCCTAAGCAATATCTTAATGATACATTACATAATACACTTATCTAGCTTGTCCTATAGCATCTAGGCATGAAACATTAAGTAGGTTATTCGACTGACATAGAACCCTGTTCATTCCATTTTAACATACTCTGATTACGACTTAAGTTCCCAGCATCAACCACCACATTCCAATTTTTTTTTATGAATTCCCTCTGGACATCAACCACAAAAAGCTGATCTCAAACATTGCATACAAAATTATCAGATATTCATCGAAACTAAATCAACAATATGTATGCAATATGTGTTTGATGTAGATTGATTATTGCACGAGAATTATGTAAGTTGTGCCATGATGCAAATATGCTCATGGGGAGTATAAAAAGTAGAATGACATTGAGTAAACATGTAAATGCCATTTTATATTGACTTACAATTGGTATATTTCAGTTCATCTGGATTTTATTGTGAGGAATGCTTTTGAGTTTTACGTCCATGACATGTGGGACTTTTGATGTTTAATAAAGTTTTGCAGCGTGATGTTGGAATGTTTGTGTTGCTTGGGGAGCTTTTGTTGAAAATATTTGTTTGATGTCCTCAAGCTTTGAATATTGATATGGAAATAAAGCCAACAAATCAAAGTCAAATTGCCTCAAAAGTATTTCATATCAGTAGGACATCAAACAATAATTTTTCAAATGGTCTACGATATTACATACTGTGTATCTTTTTATAAACATTCCTATTTGAAATATCAATCGACTGAAAATTTGTCATTTGAATTTGATTCAAAACAATTTTTGGGGCATCCACAAAAGATGTCAATAAAAAATTACATTTCTCTTCGCTATTTCCTCTTTGATTTGAACAGACCTTTACTGCTCCTCTTCCGTTTTGTTCTTATGTTATCCCACAAAGTCCCATGTTGCATATAAAAATCTAATAGATCATCTCTTAGCAGGAATCAGCAGCTTAAACTGTCTTTAAAATCTGTTGCAAATTAAATTGGATATAATCCATTAGAAAAAATTCTGATACATCTAAATTATTTTTTTATTTTTTCTTCTTTAACATAATGGACGTTATCAAAACATGTTGCTCAGATGCGCTATATTATCCTTATTTACCCCGAGAAACACATGATTTACAGGCTTTAAATACTAGCTTTCTTTTTAAAAAAAATCACTAAATGCAGACAAGATGTGGTTCAATGTAGATCCATACAATAAAATATTAAAGGAAGACTGAAACCAGCCTTTACATCACGGGCGTCAAGTACATCATTAAATCTACATCAATCTTGGAGCTTTTATTGAAATAAATCATCATGAACGATGAGCACCAATAATGTAGTCCGACGACCATCTTCAGTTAGTAACAGATAAGCATTTTTGAAACAACATGTTCAAGTCATGCATTTGAATGAATTTTTTTCGACAGATTCTTTTTGCTCGTGTAACAGCTATTGAAAGTTTTTCGACCCTTAATGGAGCGATAAGCTTCTCGCAGAGTCATCAATAATAATAGGAAATTTTGAATCTTTTTTATTCTTAAGGTAGGAAAAATGAATAATGAAGAAAGGATTGCAAACGAATGGAAGGGTACGAACATAAATTGTTATTGTAGGCTTGATTTGCAGACAAAATGCAGACTAAATGCAAGGTTTTGTAAATTGTACTGTAAATTCCTTGACTTATTGCTTACTTATTTAATTTCTTGGATTGACACGTGCGCCCATTGCAACGTTCAGAAGTCGTCTAGAGACTGCTCTATCCTTGGAGACCTTTTGCTAGTTTGGGATATTAAGGACTCAAGCGTATTTTTCAATATGATTTATTTCTAAGAACTGAATATTAAGGTTAATATTAAGACTCACCTGAAACGACTCATTGTCGTTTGCGTTGAGTCTTCGTTATTAATCCAGTCCTGTTAACCTTATGTTGCTTTATTTGTACATGTTGATTTCGGGAATGGTTGGTTGTAAATCTCACCATCCCTAGCCTGAATGTGGGGCTGTTACCCTACAGGCGAGGTTGTTTGGATAGTCTATCCTTTAAAGTACTTATTCCGGCGCAAGGGCTTTCTCGGCTTTCCCAATCCCTCTACCAGAAAGCTGTGAATCAGCCCAATAAGTTCAATAACCATGAAATTTTAATATTCTAGCTTTATTCTTGTTAAATAAATTTTAACCCCCTCTGAATAATTTGCATAAAAAATCTCATACTAGCTATTTAACAGTTTACTCTGCTGTTAGCTATTTATCCATGCTTCCACTAAATATAAATTTATTGTAAAAAATGAGATCAAATAGAAAAAGGCACATGAGAGAGGAAAGAAAAAGGCATTTCCTTGTACACATAAAATTGGATAACAAATAGGCTTGTTAGGTGTAGACTCTGTTGGATCCTTAGAAAGATATTAAAAACTCTAGTGTCAATCTGGGTACCATAGCAATCCTTAATTTTACAAGCCAATGAAAAACAAAAGTTTTTGGCTCAAACAATTTACTACTCAAGGTGGGACCCCCTCCTCCCCATCCCCATTTACATTCACAAAGAATTTTGCTTGACTTTAAAATTTTTTTAAAACTTTTGATTTAAACTCCGAGTTTCCATATCCAACTTTAGTATCAAAAATCGAAAAGAAAATGGGAACGAGGCAAAAGGCAAGGAAGCAGCTAATAAAAAAGAAAGTTGTGAAAAAGTTACCGTAAAAAAATTTCTTGCGTGTTTAAAAAAAATTTACATAATTTTCTCATTTTTTGCTTCAATATGTTCCTTCTTCATTATTGCCATAGAACTTTTTCTTTCCTTCCTTTGCTGTTCCTTCTTCTTATTATTACTTTTTTCCCTACACAGTTCTATGTGTTGTTTAAATGGAACTTTGAAATAAGTCTGTTAAAAAATGTTTTACTGTAAATATTTTACGTACATGATAGCATGTATGCTTGCTACTTAAAACAGCTACGTGTGTGTA